TCCCAACCCAGCGGAGTAACAGGTGGGAAATCCTGGCAAAAGCGGACGAGTCTGGACGTCGTCGACCCCCAAGAAAATGTTTCGCGCCTGCCACAGGGGAGAAATGGGTCTGAAGTGTCAGTGTGCTAGAGGCACTGAAGTAGCGCTTCCTTTCCACTTTTGAAATAGACCTGCTCCTTGACACCTTCAGCGTCTCCATTTGGCTGAAGGGGTTTCACGTCAGTTAATGGACTCTGTAATTTTACATGTAAAGACAGTGCAGTGAAGCTGGAAAACTGTTATTCTTAGGATTGATTCACGCCCAGCTTTTGTACTACTCTAAGGAACTGGGTTTATAAACTGATATAGTTACATGGAGGTAACTCCTCCAGCCTGGCACAGTTATACTGTTAAAAAGTGCTCATATAGGTATCATGATCATTGACTGAAATGAGCTATGTGGTATAAGCACTTTGACGCTGGTATATCTGCTTCCACACTAGATGGGTCACACCAATGTAACTACATTCGATTCTAGCCAATATAGTTTATTTAACTGGTACAAAAACTGTGGGAAGACTAGGATGGTGATAGTGTGAAAATGGTTTAAAAGCACACTAGCTACTCAACTATGAAGAAATCAGACACTGTGTCCGGAGGGAGCTACAATTCAAAGGAGCGGTCAGTTTCATTTCATGTGTTAAATAATGTGTGGAGCTCTGGGTTATCATCACCTGGACTGGCAAAATTGATGGATTTGCTTCTAGATGAACGATAATGTTTATTTGCGCCGGTCAGGCAATGTGGCTGTGTTTTTCCTGTGCTAAACTGTGAATGGCTAACGATATATAGGGTGGAAATCCCCATACTTGAAATGATTTTGCTATAGGGCTGATCCTCAACTGCTTTGAATTGGCATAGAGGTATTGGCTTACAGCAGCAGAGGATCTGGCCCATAGATGTGCACTTACTCAGGGGCAGCTGTATTATTTACTGTGGATGCAGTAGAACAGCAGCCAAGTTCTGCTGTACACACTGGTTTTTTTGTCCTGCCACACTCGTTTTTAATTTATTAAAATGGACCCATCCCAAATGTATACTGGTGCAAGTGAGAGGAGAATCAGACCCTAAGACGACAAGTTAGCACTGAAAACCAACCTGAAAGACATCCATTAAAACAAGTTGGTGCTATTGTTCTTTATCATAAAACGTAATACTTTGTACCCAGCCTGACATATTGCGCGTTTGCCTCACAATAGGCCTTTAGGGGGTGATTTGAGCATTCAGGTTCTCTTCTAAATGGAGAAGAAAATGTTTTCCATTTCCTATCTTTCCTTTTATTTGCATATCCATGGTTACAAGCAGCAGGCGAAACATACCTAGCGCTTAAAACACCTCATTTTCCTTAGTATCTTCTAAATATCAGTTCTGATTACATCTCAGGAGCTACAGTGTATAATGTCACCAAACAAAACAATTACAGATTCTGGGCTGGAGTCTGACTGCTGTTAAACTGGAGTCACTCCATTTACTTCCCTGGAGTTAAGAGCACAGATGCAAATGAGAGCAGAATCTTTCAGCAGTTCATGGACTGTCAGGGTGAACTCTTTGAATCCTCCCCCATCCCAATATTTTAACCACAAGATTTCTCTGTGGCTCCTTTATAGAGGATACAGTGGAGATCACAGCAGACTTCACAGAAAGCTGCCCACTGGTACTTTTCTGAATAGTTCCTGTTACAAACTGTTTTATAAATTCTCTGGGCCTGACCCTACTCCCATACTTAAATTGTGAACTCTCTGGGTCAAAATAAATGCCCAAATAAATCTGTTAGTCTTTAAGGTGCCACCAGACTCCTTGTTGTTTCTCTGGGTCAACTCTCTTTATTGTGTGTGTACAATGCCGGGTATAGTGGATTCCTCATCCTTTACAGGGGCCTCTGGCTGCTACTGCAATACATACAGTAACAATATTAATTGAAGTTCATGGCAAAACTCCCCTAATTAATTTTCCCTTTAGTTTCTAATGTGACATGTGGCTTGGTGATTTGCTCCAGGATGAGGTTATGTGAATGATTTACTAGTAGATCACTCGTATATCAGACAATATACTGTGTCAATACGCACCTGAGTAAATGGTAAAATGTGATGACACTTTTTGGCTGAATTACTTCTAGGGACATGGGCTGAAAGCTTGACACCGTACATGGTTTACCAATTTTAAAATATATTTGTATTCGTGTTCAGAATTCACATTTTAATCTGATAAGGTTCTCATTCCTCAACTAAGACCAGAGTCTGTCACCATTTCTCATGTTTAGTAGTGCCTTCTCCGTGTTTTGCATTTTTGAGAGGGATTCAATTCATTTTAACAGTTCAGAATTAGACCCTTTACCCAGCTCTGTTTTTACATAAGCGAGCCAGTGGCTTTTTTTATGGCCAGAATCTGATATCTTTTCTCACACTGAGAAGTGCCTTAGTCCACAAATAGTCCTAGTCACTACTTATAGTGGGACTACTCCAGATACTCTTCAGGATGAAATCAGATACTCTTCAAGATGAGGAAAGCTATCAAAATCTGGCCCTCCAATTTTTGAGGCCAGACTCTCCATTCCTCCATTACTACACTCTGACACCTTTAAGCCAACTTTGCACAGTATATATTCCAGGATCTTCTGGGGGCATGCCCAGCACCCAGCCTAAATTACAGCAGCCTCTCCAGGGGCCATTCTGTAGTGCAGAATAGCTGGGGTATAGTCTGTTCTACCCTCTCCTCCATTACATGCCCTCAGTAAACCCCTTATGCTGGGGGCTGCAGGGGACAGTGTAGATCCGTTGTGGCAGCTATACAGTGCCTGGGGACCCCCCTTATGCCAGAATTATTACCCAGGAGTGGTTCCAACCCCTTTATGCCACGAGGACCACAGGGCACTGCAGAATCTGAGCTCTCATGGCATCACAACTTTTGGGTCTTAGAAACAGCATCAGGTTTTTAACAGTGAAGATTTCCACTAGAATATTTATTTCACGCTGCATGGGGCTTGTTGGTTACAAGTTACCTTGTAATAGCTAAATTACGTCCAAATCCTTATCTTTTCACATGATATTCTCTCTCTTCCATTCATCAATCCAAACTTATTAGATACTGATATACACGGATATGGGACCTGATCCTGCAGCCCTTACTCCAGTGAGTTGGTGTCGTTCATTCATTCTGTCTCAGTGCAGAAGGAAATGGAGGTACTTGCAGAAATAAGATTTGAAAGATAAGATTAAGATGCTGAACATGGAACATTGTATACCTAGATCAGTGGTTCCCAAACTGAGGTTCGTGAACCCCTGGGGATTCACAAAATGTTACAGGGGGTTATCGGGAAAAAATTCCCTAATGGCAGACAGAGCTGTCCCTACGAACCACGGGCAACATGGGGACAGCAGCCCGGAGCCCCTGGACTTCCAAGAGCGAAGCAGATCAAAGCAAGCATATCTGTCACACTGAGGAGATTTAAGCTTCAAGACTCCTTATAAGAAATGGAAAGGGAGGTGGATATTTTTTGCTGTTTTTAAAATTAAATAAGCAGCTAGTATTGTTTTTAAAATTATTATGAAGAACAAGTTTAAGCTTTGTTGTAATGTGCGTTGTTTGCCTGGACTGCTCAAGACATGAATGCTTGTGTAGGA